ACCCATTGGTCAATATATCTCACCAGAGAAAAAGAAAATAAAATGTTACAGGATGGAAATGTAATTTAAGAGCTGAATGAACACTAGATCAGCTTATTTCATCCTTAAGAAGAAAAAAGACAGTGGAGGCAGCCCAGGTGGTTCAACTGTAGTGCAGCTGAAATTCCATCAGCCATGAAAACTGTAATTGGGATTCCACTTTTGGATTTGGCCAGCCCAGTAACAGATGTGTGTTCTGACCAAGATCACAGACTGCTTCTCCTGGAGAAGAGCTCTTTAGAGTGAAACGGGAGTTTCAACCAGTTTCAACTCCAAAGAAGAGACTTGCTTAAATTGAGTATAATTGTTACAAGTGTTTAGAATTCCCGAGTTGGATCCTGACTAAATGTGTGGTTCTTGTTGTAATGCCTTGAAAAAGAGGCACTGTGATTCCTCCTTGCTTTGGCCTTAAAAAAGAAAAAGAGAAGAAGAATCCAAAAACAGAAGTTTTTTGTTTTGTTTTGTTTTGTTTTTTTCTAAGTGGAGATCCAATCGTTTGGCTAGAACTATCTCAGCCACGGGACATTTCTTCAGTGAATGAGGCTATAGTTCAGACAGCGAGGTCAAGGTGAAGACCAAATACCATTTTGCGCATAATTCCTGCCCATTAAAAGAAGAGAATCAAGTGTTTCTCATTATGTAGGCTGTCTGGATGCACAGTCCTTTCAACAGAACTCCTCAGGCACATCTTGGCAAGATTCTAAATTCATATTATCCAGCATAACATGGAGCAGGTAGAGTTTCTTTTGAAAAGAAACCCAGGCCAATGTAATTCTAGTTAGGGAAACTGATGCCAGGAAACCTACAGAGTGCTTTAACCCGAACCACCATTCAATTAAATAAATCCCATCCTCTTTAACAGGAGTCAAGAAGCAATCCAGTGCAAATGGGGAAACACAGTTGTCTATGAGCAAAGTTCATCCATCAAGAGGCTAATTCCATGGGGGATTCCAAGTGAATTTGGGACAGGTAAGAAGCAAGCTTATGTCAGGACTGGATATTTACATTTTATTCCTATCCAACATTTTTTCCCCACCCCTTTGCCTCTGTCTCTCTTTCCTGACCTAGAGAGACAGACTGTCTTCAAAGGAAAGGAAAACTGCATTTGCCAGCTCCTCGAAGCTTTAAATGCCCTTCAGTGATCTGGAAAACAAGTCAGAATGTCTTCAAGAAGGACAAAACTCTGTCTCTTGTCTCTCTGTCTCTTTCCCTTTGGTTTGCTTCCCTTCCTCCTTGCTGAAAAACAGCCACCTTTCCCAGAGACATTATTACAACCCATTTGAAGCACTTCCTCCAATAATGAATGCAACAAAATCCTGCCTTTATTCATTTAAAGCTTGAAGCTGGCCCTCTTTACAAATACTCTGTTTTCAATAAACGCTGTTGATATGCATCCCTTCAGGAGAATAAAGTGAATACAGTGAAGCTGAAGCTGCTGGTATGCAGAGATCAGATATCCAGACCCTATCTGTGTGTATATAGCACAGATCCTTGGTGGGCACTGTTAAATAGCACACATACAGAAACAGATTCTGCTGTCTGTATTTTTTTTTCTGGGAAGGATTCATAAAAGACTGTAACAGTGTTCACCTTTAAGGACAGAGATGAGCATAGGAAGAAACTTTCACTTTTCATTTCAATGTTTCTGTACTGCTAGAATTTTCTAACAATGTACATATATTACTTTCATTCTTTCAAAAAAAAGTTTACTTGAGTGATTGTCTTTTTTTGTTTGTTTCCTCTTTAGTGCTTCTCTATATTAAAAAGAAATATTATTCTTAAGTTAAAAAAATAAAAGGCAAGAAGAAAGACAAATTGCTTTCGGGAATGACTGTTTCTTAAATTATTCTACCTAACATGGTACTACTTAATTTTATCCTACGTCCCCAGTACCTCCACAGATCTGTAAGCACAGACACCAAAACTGCAATATTCCGAGGGGATCTTCTGAAAAAAAATGTTTAAAATTCTGGGTCCCCCATCAACCATTAAAATGACTCTCCTATCCTTCATTAACAGCAAAATCATCTCCAGAGAGATGAAGCAACACCAGTGTCAGTCTTCCTCTAGGCCAGGTCACCATAGGTGTCACTGCACTGGATGGTGCATTTCATAGACAAGACCACAGAGGCTCAGAGGTCACAGCCTCAGTGGATCACACTACAGTGGAGCAGGGATTTAACCCAAGCTCCCTGGGACTTCCCATGGCCCAAAACCTCAAGGCAGAAGGGATGTTGCTGCATATCCCACATGCAATGTCAAAGCCTGCTGGTAGGCACTGTGACTGAATGCTGTCCATGCCCCATGCAAGCTCACACCAAGGTCAAGGAACTCTGAAAGGCCCATCTCCAGCCACAGGATATGGGGAACCACCGGGGACAGATTTGGAATGTGCCACCCTTTGCAGGTGGCATTTACAACATAGGTGCCTTCCAACCTTCCTGGGTGGCTTTTCCCAGCTTTTTCACCCTTAACTCCAGGAGCACAAACACAAAAGTGGGAAATGTCAGGGAAATAGGGATGATGGCAACTCAGAGACAGGCTCAACACAGAGTTTTCTCTTTTCTTCAGAAAGCAGGGGGATGCCTTCTTCCTGGCCCAGGCAAGCCTGTCCTCCTCCAGGCAGCAAGCATGGAATCATGAAAATCATGAGCATGTAAAGCTCATTTAAGTACATGAGGACAGGCTGAGAGGACTAGTGACTTGAAAACATGCTTCCTTTTCATACTTTATTCCTATTATCATTTTGACCAGCTTCTTAGCAGGAAATGCTGGCACAGAAGGCTAAGGACCCCAGACTCAAAGTTCCAGCCCCAATCCTGGCTCTCTGATGAGATGGTGTCACCTAGTTTTTGTGCCCAAACCCCACAATTTGTAGTTAGCTGTATGGTCCAGAGGAAAGAAACCAAATAGCTAGTCTTCAATGTTCCTACCTAAAAGTGGAACTTTTTTAAGGCCAAAGCCTTTGAAAACCTGGAAACAAAAGTTTCTATATGGAAAAAATCAGACACTGTTTTGTAGTTAATACCTTCAGTGGGTATGATTGCAATGAGATATAATAAAAATAATTTCCCCACTGGTCCCCTCCATTAGTCCAAACAGGCAGTTCCACTTATAAGCAAAACCTTCAATTCAAAAATGTCTTCTGAAAAAAATATATATATATCTTCTGTCAGTTTGAGAAAGCCAAATGCGGAAAGGAAAAAACAAAACAATTAGCCAGAGACCCCTGTGTAGTTAGAAATCCCTAGATGGTTTGGTAGCCTGGGATAATTTTCTTTTGCTTTCAGAACGTTAGAAATGTTCCAGGAAAGTCCTCATTGCGGCTCACTGTCTTTTGCCCACTTTGTTCTTCTAAGAATCAGCCTCCTGTTAGCATGATTTCTTCACAGTGCCTCTCTTCCCTGGAGTTTCCTGGGGCAGAGCCCTGAAAATGTTCCTCCTTCACCTCCTCCTCCACCTCCTGTCCAACCCAGGCTGATAGTGAATAAACCATTCAAATAATGTCACCTTAATAGTGTTCATGCTGGGAACTGAGGGACTAGAGTAGGTGAGGTGGACCTACACGACAATGCAGATTGGACACAGACTTGCTCACCCTTACGAAGCATTCTCCAGATGCTTTCCTTTATTCAAAGGCAGCCACGTTTAACAGGTGATGTCACACTCTCACCAGTGACATTTTTATGACTACAAAAATTGCAGTTTTATGTCCAGGGTCCCGCCACCAGTGCGCCTGAACTTGGAAGCAGTGAACAGCTCTCGCATCCAGCTCTAGAAGACATTTTCTGGGTTTTTCTGTCCCTCATCCCCTTGCAAACCAGAAGCCAGATTGCACCTTTGTACCCGGAAGCAGTCTGTGGTTTAAATTAACAAATGTGCTGACCCCTGAAAACCGAAAACAGTGCTGATGCATTTACATTGTGTTAGATTCCCTCCTGTTAGGTGTGTAAGGGTGGGAAGGAGCACCTCCGGGGCATGCAGTTTTCTAAGGAGAGAAAATACCAATGACCACAATGCCCCCTTCTCCTCCCCCAATCTTCTTTGGGGTGACATCATCTCAGAGGAAGCAAGGAGAAGCTCAGCCACTAGGCACTGAGAACATACAGATTATCAGACAATATCCTGGGGGAGAGAGAGAAAACAAGATAGTTCAACCGGGTTTTGCTTGGGTTCATTAATATAAAAATATAAAATAAAGGCCATGGCCTCTCTGTCCATTTCCTAGGTTCCAGAACCCTCCGTTAGGGCTGGGGGGCTCCGAGGGGTGGAGACTAAAGAGTCTCAGCTGCAGAGCAAGGGCTGACGGGGAGCCCAGTCTGGGGCTCTCCTGGGAAGGCCTTTAGGTCAGGGAAGCAGTAGGAATGAAGAGAAACGGAGTCACTTATTGTAAAAGACACTAAAGAGAGAAGAGGGGCAGGACCCCAGGAAAGGGAGCACGGTGGCTAGAATGTGAAGGAGAAAGGGAAGCAGGAAGACTGCGGCGAGAAAAATTAAGAGGACAAAAGGAAGGCAGGGAAACATGAAGAAGGAAAGGAACCTAGGTTAGGAAGGAGGAAGGAAGCAAAGACAGAAAGGACGCGAGGCAGAGAATGGAAGGGAAGAGGGAGGGAGGGTGCCGAACCACCTTGGGAGAGGTAGGAAAAGACCCTTGAGGCTGGCCGGGCGAGGGAGGCCATGTCGGAGCAAGGATCGGGACGAGGGTGCAACAGTCTAAAGCCAAAATTCAGAAAAGCCTAAAAACCCTGGCCGGTGAAGGAAGTATGGCCGCCGGGCCAGTGGGGAACCTGGGAACCGGTGCGCCCGACGGGGCGGGCCCCCCGCGGGCTGGCTCCGGGCACCTCCTCGGCTTGTCCTGGGTCCCGCGCGCGCCACCGAGACTGCAAGGCTGAGCTGCACGCCCCGTTCCGCCCGCCGGTCCTCCTCTTGCTCCGGGCTTGGGCTCGGGAAAAGCGCTGCCCCTAGGAGGTCGAAGCCGGGATGGGCAGTCCGTGTAAGCTACTGAGGCCATCCGGGGCCTTGCCGCCGCCGGGGCTGGACGGCTTCCGGTCGGCCACTGCGGGAGGAAGCACAGGGACGTCGGGTCACTGGCTGGCGCGGCTCAGAGTGAGAGACCCAGAGGTCTGCGACGTCCGCAAATGCGGGTGACAACGCGAGGATCCGGGGTTGACACTATAGGGGTTTGGAAGAAGGAAGCAGGGACCCGAGTCCTCCAAGGACCCCACGCTCCCACTGGCGCCCATCTTTACGGATCACCTTAAGGGAGCCACGAGTGAGCACAGCCTTGGCTGTGTTGCAAACGCTCCCTGTTCGCAGCCCGAGTGCACTTGCCTTTGCCCCGCACCCTCTCAATAAAGGAGGTGATGGGCGCTCGGGTCGGTAGGGCAGCCCGGCGGGGGAGGCTCTCAGATCCGAGACCCCCGCTCCCCTCCTTCCACCGCCACCCAGACCCCAGCTGCGCGCTCAGGCCTGGGGAGATGCCAGCGCATCAGGTCCACTGTCCCCGGAGCGGCTCAGGACGCTCGCGGTGGACCGGGGTAACAGAGCGGGAAGTGGGTCACCAAAGCCGCCCCTGATAGACGGCCCGCGGCGGTCAGGATCCGTTCGACAGCGGAGGCGGCCGCGCTTTAAATGGGTGGCCGACTTCGTTCTGCCCCGCGCGGCACGGGAACACAGCTGCTATCCCCACTGCGGTCACAGCACGCCCTGGAGCCTATGGGCCTCCGGATTAAGTGACAGTGAATCTGCCAGATCAGACGGCATTCTGCGCGTTGCTCTATTATTTAAGGTTTTGGGAAGGGGCCCGAGTTTTGCCTCTGGAAACCAGCAAAGTGACACCACGATTGCGCAACCTGTTTCTACTTTCCCAGCCCCTGGCCGCTCAGCTCCTCCTGCAGGAAGCTCAAGTAGTTTATACCTAAAGGTGCCCCTTCTCAGCTTTCTTCTTCTCCCCTGCAAGTCCTCCTTTAAAAGGAGAAGCTGAAGCGCCTCATTTTGGGATCGGGATATTTCTGAATTTTTTCCCCTGCAGCTGCCCATGCTCCAGTAGCAGGCGCAATTTGCGGTGACTGCGCAGAGCTGCGCCGGATACTCCTGGAACATCTGGTTTCACAGGGGTTTTCAGAGGGGTCTAAAGACCTTTCCAGGGCAGAGTGACCACTCTGCCCTCCCCCTCCTCTCAGCTCTCTTTCCTAAAGGCAATTGTAGGTGCTCAGTCAACGAGGTCTTCTGACCCTGGTTTTCCACCCTGTACTCCCCTTCAAGGTGAGGGACCTGTTCAGAAAATATCAGAGGAGGTGGCGATTTCTCAGCTATGGGCCAGTTGCCTTAGACACGAGGGAGAAAATGAACTAGGAAAAAATAAACACGGGGGGGGGAGCCAGAGATAGATTCCACCTGCTGCTGCGTTTTTAGGTCTGTCCACACCAGCCCTCGCCATAGGACCTCTCCCCTCCTTTCCCACCCGCAGGGCCAGAGGCAACCTGAGTGGCTGTGTCGTGGGGGCCTCGGAGGCTTGAGCCTGTGGTGTTAGGCGCCCTGCGGGTTCATTTAATCTTAGGGGGCAGGATGGGGACAAGGGTTTTCAAAATATTAGGACTGCTGTTGCAGGGCCACTGGGACCACGGTAGGGGCGGACAGAGGCGGGATGTGAGAAGGGGTCTCCAGAGCCAGGTCAAATGAAACCTGGTTGGCTTTGTTGGGTCTCTCACACAAACGCCTGCAACCTAGTGCTCTCTGGCAAAGTACGTTTTCAGGATCGATCCCTCAAGAACTAATCCCAAGCTAATCCCATAAGTGGAACGAAGCTTCGAGTTGAGTTTAAGAAGTATAAACATATTTTCTTTGAGGAATATGCAATATCTTCTAGATTTGATATTCGAAACCTTAGTCTTTCCAAAGCCCCTCTGGGAAGGATTTTAGAACCATGAGGCTTTGATGGTTTCTGAAAACACACTGTAAATTGTAAATACCAGCTGTCTTGCAGGAACCTCTGGTGGGGTCTGTCACCTGTCCAGAGGCTAGGAAGGGGTGTGTGGAGATGGTCCTGCCCTGGCTACAAAAAGAAATTAGATGAGTACTGAGATTCCAAAAATACCAGGTCCCCTCCAAATGTAGATGGGGTGAAACTCTCCTTTTCTCTCAGGCCCCAAGAATTAAAGTTTCCTTTCACAGATGGAAAATGTAAATCATACCTCCTCACCTACAAAATAGGTAGCCCAGCCTCGCTACCCTTTACCAATAAAAAATTAATAAGTAGCAATGCATAATTTGACATTTGATTTGACTTCCCTCAGGGTAACAGTTAATGTTCATTTGCACCTGATTTGGAGGATGCACTGAAACAGATGGATGTGATGACAGACATATAAAATATTGTATGTGTGTTGTGCATGTAAGCACTAGATGATCAAAAGTATTTGCTTGTTACTGAACATGCATAATATTAAATTGCTTTCGGTAGAAAATTTTTGTTACTGAAAAAAATTCAGTAAATGCTATTCTACTATTCTTAAAAACTGGACAATTAATGATAGTAAATTGTCTTATGGGATAAGTTTCTTTGAAGACAATTTAAGTAATGATTAGAAAAATTAAAGGCAGTGATTCTTATTACTATGTAATTTTTCAAAAGAGGGGGAGGAGCAGGGAAGGGGAAGGGGAGGGTCTTTGAAGTCAACTTTTCTGCCAGTGAGAAGGGTAAAACTCCATGACCCAAACAGGCATGTAATTCTCATGATTTTTATGTTTCTGTTCACTTACACTTGTATGCCAGCTTGAGAAATCATTTTCAGTGATGGGCCTGATTTATTCAATGATCATCTACCTAGATCTTCAAAGAACTGTGAGGGTCAGGAAATTAAGGTATTAATTTAATAACTAAGGTAGCTAATTTATTGCTTTGGATTTTGAAAATGGGTGGGACGTTTCATAACAGGAAGCAAATATACTGGTAAAAGGGACATGAATGTCAGGGCCACTGAATGGCCCTGTATTTCTGAAAGAAAGTATCTTCTAAAGAAAATCAGCCACCAACAGATTCCCCCCCAATTCACTAGAATTAGTTTAGAATTCTGAACTGTGTGTTTTCCCTTTGGACTGTTACCTACACGTCATAATTTGTTTCTAACGTGGAGTCTGAAATGCCTCAGGACAAAGTGGCTCTGTTAGCAAATGATGGCATTGTTCTGAAGATAATGAGTCCTTTTTCTTAAGTCTTCTTTCTCCCTGAGATCATTTCAATTTGTAGATATGCTTTTCTAATTCAGATGAACCTGCTTAGTTAAATGATTTGATTTGTGTAATGGAGAAGATTCCATTTCTGTTCCTAATTCAGCAGATAACCTCCGTTCTTAAGGAAGCAGTTAGATTTGAGGCGGAGGACCAGACCCTGAGCAAAAGCACGAGGAAGGATTTATGCTTGGGACCCACTCCAGCGCTCCAAGACCCTGAGCAAAAGCACTTCTACAGATGAAAAAGATCCCTCCAACTGTCCTGAAATGTAAAGCATAAAGGAGTTCTAATTTTCAGTTTTTGTAATTTATACCCCAAGATGTTTATGTTCTAGAAAAAGTGAAAAGAGAAAAAAAATTTCCCTCCACTTGACTGTTATTGATGGCATCTTAATGCCTCCTCTCTCTCTCTCTCTCATCATGCTATTGCATCTCACTGAAACTACGTGGAAATAAAGCTTTTTGCCTGGATGTCACATAGAAGAAGCCCCCTCCTGTCCCCTGATTACCCAATGCCACTTGCCCCCAATGTCCACCTTGGTAGGTGTGAGGAAGATCAGGTGGTAAAGATCCCTTTGTAATCTAGAACATCCCTCTGCCCCACACTGCCCTCCCAGGTTATGCTCTGTCTCCTTCACTGCCAGGGCTGGGACCCCCTCAGGTGACTTCCTTTTCTATAGGGTTGTAGAAGTTGCAAATTTCTGGTGAGGAGAACCTAAATGCAGGAAGGTTTGAAATTAGCAAATCCAGCCCTTGTTCACCAATGAGGAAAATGAGACTCAAGAGCAAGTGAGCTATTCCCAAGTTTTAAGAAAAAAATAGAACTCAGAGGGCAGTGTAAGAAGATGACCCTCACACTGCTGACCATCAGTTAAATACCTCAAATCTGTTAGTGGACTTATCAGGGAGTGGATACATGGAGGGAGAAGAGGAAGGAGAACTTCCAGCTACATTTCCCACAGGAAGACGGACCCCAGATCACACAGAGTTCAAGAGTCTAGACTTGGGGATACATGATTGAAATGCTCTCTCCATTTCCCAAAGCACATGTTTAAGAAAATGAATCAAAGACCAGGGCCTGGAAGGAGGGAAGGAAGGAAGGAAAGAAGGGAAGGGAAGGGAAGGGAGAAACGAAACAGAGACGCAGTGCCTAGAAAAATCCAAGTTTAGTCCACCACAGAAGGCAAAGCTCTACAAGCCCCAGAAAGGTGAGCCTGGATGGTGCTTCTGAATCCTTCTACAGATGGAGGAACTGAGACCCAGAAAGGAGCAATAACTTGGTCAAGGACACAAAACTAGGTTCAAACCTAGGAGTCCTGTTCGCCAACCTGACCCTCTTCCTTCTCTCTCTGTACAAGTCAGGAGGGACAGTCCTGGGGACTCTCTCAAGTGTGTCTGCCTTTCTAGGAACAGGGCATACACCTGTTATGAATCAGTCTGTTCCAAGAGGCTAGAGGCTTAGGAAAGATTTATGCCTGGGACCCACTCCAGCACCCCAGCTCTCCCCTCTTTCTGTCCGTCTTTGTCTCTGTCTCTTTGACTCACCATGCCCCATGCTTACACTCCTCTCTTGCACCCTTCCTAACCTTAGAACCGTTCATTCGACCCCCTCCCGGCCCGCGCCCCTCACCTTCCCGGCTGGGATGCTTGAAGGTCATCGCTGCGGCCAGGTCCCCACCGTGGACTGTGACGCCGGCCCCGGGAGGCGCCAGCGGGGGCGGCTGCGCTGGCGGCCATGGCGGGCCCGGGGCGAGGTAGCCGCCGGCCGGTGCGCTGTACACGCCATGCTGGTTGGAAGCCGGGTAGGCACACGCCGGCAGGAAACCGCCTACCGCAGGGAGGCCAGAGGCCGACTGTAGAGATCGAGGACAGACCATCAGCAGCAGGCGGCCGGGCAGTCTTCCCCCGCACGCGCAATTACTGAGCTAGGGAATCTTCCATTCCCCCTGCGGTCCCCTCCATTATCCCCGCGCGAGGCCTGGCCTCTCGTTTTCGCAGTAAGGACTCTGGCAAAGTGATTTCCACGCAAATTGTTATAAATAATAATAAGAGGTGAGGGGGGGTCATGGTGTCCACCAACTGGGATTTAGAAGAAGGGAGTCATCTCCCATCTGTGTTCCGGATTCCAGCTTTTTTTTTTTTTTTTTTAAACAGAAGTATCTTGGCAAAAAGCAAAGTAATCGCCTGGACAGCCAGCCTCCCCCAAACTAGTGCACTTGAGAAAAGGAGAGAAATAGGTTGGCGCAGAAGCTCACTGGCTGGGCAGCCAAACACACAAACACGTTCCCTGGCCCGAGGGAGTTTTCTCTTTCTCTCTCCCCTCACCCGCCAACCCTCCCGCTCCCCCAGTTAAAGACACCTCCTTCCCCTGCCACTCAGTTACCTGAGTGTATTTAATGTCCGCCTCCAAGGCAGGCTTCTCGAGACCATTCACTGCTGGAGTGGCCGGAAAGGCCGTGCGGTTCACGCTGGCCCAGTCTTCCATCTTGGGGGAGTAGGCGGCACCTTCGCTCCCAGCCAGGGCCCCTGCGGGGACACAGGATGAATTAGAAGGGACATCCCAATCTGCGCTGGGCACAGGCGCAGTCCAGACGTTTCCACACAAGCCTACAAGCGCTGGGCTCATATCTGAGCAGGTGGCGAAGGGTCCTCAGGAACACCTGAGATACTCAAAACGCTCAGAGAGCGATCGGAAGCAGAGGGGCAGCTGGGAACTGGGTTTTGCTTTCATTCCTGGTAGGGCAGAGGGAAGAAAGTCCTGCTTCACGTTCCTCCCAGCCTTCGACCCTCCCAGCCTTCGACCCGCTTCCCACGAACGGTAAGTCTCTGGCAGTAGGTGGCCTGTAGGGCCAGGGCTGGGCACATTCAGCCAAGGTGCCTTTCCACTGTCCAGAAACAGCGACCAGAAAGGTCCAAGTTCAAATCCCCAGCAGGCTTGTGAGAATTACATGGGTTTCTCAGTCTCAACAGGCGTCTGAAAGGATATGCTGAACTGCCTCTGGAGACATCCCAGGTCTCCCAAAAGAGGCAACAACCCAGACACCCACCTGTGTCCCAAGCACATGTACGGTCCTGGAGCAGGTGTGTGCACAGGTAACTGAGAGAAGACTCCAGATTTGAGCGCTGACCTGATGAGGTCACCTCCCAGCCAACTGTCCACTGATCGCACCATGGGGAGATTTGGCCCAGCAAATGGCCCAGGGTTTTTGAGTCACCAGGATAAACAAAGCTGTGCCCGGCCTCGGCCTTGGAGGAGCACCCCACTGCCACTGGAGCTAAGCATTCAGTTTCCTTCAAGCCTGCCCTCCTCTGTCTTGGGATAAGGTGAGTTTTGCTTCTTACGCACGCAGAGTCTGCTCACTTAAGAGCACACAATTCCCTGGCTGGTTGTTGGGAGCAGGGGACACTGTGAAGAGACTGGGGACTCAGTCCCAACCCACAAAAATTCTTTTTGAGTCCCGAATCAATGCTGCCCCAAACCATCCTCCCTCCCCCTTCGCTCCCTCCTACCCCTGCCAAGAAAGAGGAATGACAGTGTGCTGGATGAAAATTGCAGGCAAAGGGCAAATCCTTGCAACTTTTCACCCCAGGATGGCTGCAGCCCCGGGGCACTGACAAGGGAGATCCCAGCTCCAGGAGCTGCAGGGCTGCTGGGCCTGCTGGAGATACAGGCCATTTGACAAGACCTGCCAGACAGCTCCCCTGTGCTTTTTGACTCAAAAGAGCCTATGGGCCTGGGAGGAACAGAACCCTTTGGGGAATGCTGAGGGAACCCGAAAGATCAGGATCATAAGAAAGGGTCGCAGGACTGACTCTGGTTTGTTTGGCTTAGATCTGGTGATAGGGTTTTGCATACTTTTTGCAAGAATGAAAAAGCGCAATTTCAGGCCTCCGAATTTGTGGTCGGCGATTGCTCTTCCATTTGGGAAATATTTTCCATATTTGTCATAAAAAGTTCAAGATGTCCGAGGACTCCCACAGAAGGCCCAAGACCCTCAGTCTCCCTGGCCAGCCCTGCACCCTCCCTTGAGCCAAAACCAGTCTGAGGAGGATGGCAAGTGTGACCCTTTGCCCGCATGTCCGCCCCCCACCTCCAATCTCCCAATTCAGCCCTTTTCAGGAACGCTACAGAGGGCCACCGAGACTGACCTGTTTGCTCCATAAACGTCCGAATGCCAAGGATGTTGCTGACCGAGTGCGCCGAGGGCCATGAACGGGGTATGCTGACGTGGCCTGCTGTGCCCGGGACCCCGTGGTGGCTGCCCATCTTGGCGCCCGTAGACGACACAGGGCTGGGGTAGGGATACTGGTAGATATGGTTGTAGGGCAGCGCCGGCTGCGGCGGCGGCTGCTTGCTCGCCTCGTAGGGCCCAGGCTGCGCCAGGCTGCCAATCTTATTGCGCAGGATTCGGCTGATGGAGCTCACAGAGGGCACGTTGTACTTGTCGCAGACGCCATCGGCCAGCAGCCGGTCGCGGATCTCCCAGGCAAAAATGCCAGGGTCGCCCTGCTTATAGTCCCGGATGTGCTTGACCACGTTGGGGGTAGTGACGCGGGGTTTGCTGCCCCCGATGGCCCCGGGCAGGATGGAGCCTGTCTCGTTGTAGCGCGCCAGGATCTTGCTCACGCAGCCGTGGGATACGCGAAGCTGCCGGCTGATGTCACAGGGTCGGATGCCCAACTGCGCCAGCTCCACGATGCGCAAGCGGATGGCGTTGGGCAGGGGGCGGCCGTTGACGAACACGCCGCCCAGCTGGTTCACCTCGCCGTACGTCTGCTCTGCGGACGCGCCGGACGAGAGTAAATAGAAGGGAGAGAAAACACCGGCGGGTTAGCCAAAAAGGGTGGCCACACCAGGCAAAGGGCCACACCAGGCGCACCTTGGAAGGTGATCGGCGGGCGGGTCCTCAGAATCTCGCAGTGCGAGCAAACGGACCGGATCCGGGCTCTAGGAGTGGGCGCCAGCGTAAGCGCTGCGGAGGGGGACGCCGGGCGCTTCAGCCCTGTGTACCCTTTCGGGACTTTTGACGCGCCTAATTGGCACATCCCCTCCTGCGACACGCCGAACTCCCCTCCCCAACCCCCGATGGCTTGGGGCGTGCGGAGAACGCGACTTGTCAGGGACCCGGGACCTGCTCTCCCAAGGAGAGCAGGCGAGAGGAAAGGGGGGTGCCAGGACCCAACCCGCCTCGTCTGCCCGCCCGCGCCCCGCTTACCGCTCGCCCCTTACCCATAGCGCGCGGGCCAGCCAGCTGCCTGGCGCCGAGGCGGCCGGGACTGGGCCCGGCACAGTCCGGGAGAGCTCGGGCGCCGCCGCCGCGGGAGAGGCATAGAGGGAGGGCGCGCGCGAGTCGGGAGCCGAGGCGGCCGGGCCGCGGGCTGGAAACGCGCCGTGCGCCGCCGCCGAGCGCGCAGCCGCCCTCCCCCTGGCCCGCCGCCGCCGCCGGGCGCTCCCAGGACACTCTCCACGCCCGCGACCCCAGGCCTAGAGTGAACTTCATCCGATTAGGAGAAATTCGTCTGACCGGGAGGCTGCAGCGTGCGGAGATCAATTTGACGTGTCTTCCACGTCAATCTCGGCAGTCACGCCGGAGACGCGCGAGTTGGCAGCTCATTGGTTCCCGTCACTGCACCCCGGCGCCCCCCTCCCGGGCCTGAAACTTTACCACCTCCTCCTGCTCTCCTCCCCCCTCGGCCCTCCTCTGCAACCCATCCCCCTACACACACACACACACACACACACACACACACAAGTGCTAATCTCAGCCGGACCTGGGACCTTCCACTCTCTTTGGCTCCCCTCAAAGCCCCTTATGCCTCCATTTTTGAGAATGATGAGGTAGTCGTTCCAAACTGATGAGTATTTATTAGTGCTACTATTAGTACTAGTACTAGTTTTGGTTTTAGTTTTATTACTACTTCCACCAATATTACCATTAAGATATCAGAGGGTAAAAGTTGATCATAGTAGGGTTAGTGCATGGCTGCCTCTACCAGCCCCTCTCCGCCGGCGGGGCATGGGGAGAGTGGTGCCAGTGCCCCAGCTCTGGGCAAGGGTGCGTTGTGGTGCGCGTTCAGCTTAGTGCAGGGTGCTTGGGGGGGGCGGGGAGAGCGATTTGCGGTTGTACAGACTCCTGCTTGTCTCATTTCCCGACGACACCCCAAACCTGATCTCAGGGAAATCTTTACAATATTTAATTGCCACCCACTCCACTAGGATAGTGGTGTGATTTCAGTAATGTTAAAAGGGTACATTTTAGATTCTGTCTCTCTGTGGACAAGTCCACCCACCACACTCATTTCTGATAGGTGGCACAGGACGCAAGTCCGAAAGTAATTGTGAATTGCTGCCCCCAGGAACAGGGATTCTTCAGTCTCTGGACCCCAGGCTTGTCCTGGTGGCCTGGCCTTTGGGAGGTTGCACGCCGTTGCTTCCCCTCTAGGCCTAAACGACAGTTCCTTTCTTCCAGGCCACGAACCCCACATTCTTCCTTGCTCAGGCTACCTAGCCTCATCTTTCACCTAGCACCCGAGGCTTCCAGGGGTCCTCATTAAGTCACTGAATGGTTCTTTTGCCCTTATTTGTAGGGGTGCTTGCACGACCCTGAACTCTTTGGCCTTAGCATTAACCGTCAATTCTTCTCCATTTCTAACGGTGTCAGTGCAGTGCCTGGTTCTGGACTTCCCAGTCTGGGTTGCCAACCATGGCAGTCCCAGAGGGAGTCTTGCAGTGGGGTCCAAGAGATAGCAGATGTGGAGGTAGAAAGCTCCCGATTTTGCACCAAACTGACAAGAGGAGCCCGGGACCTGGGTGGGAGTTTTGAGCTTGGGGTCAGTGAGTGCCAAGGGCACTGGCAGAACTGGCAGGAGCAGGAAGGGGCACCTAGGAGGGAGCGTTCAGTTCTCCAGATTCCCAGCTCTCCTCAGGAGACAGGAAGATTCCCCTGTCCTCCGTTCCCAAAGATTCTAGAGCTTGGGAGCCCGCAGACAGCTGTGTACTGAGCCTGAGCGGTGATGCTGCCAGAGCCACACATGGACCGGACCAGCGCAGCTGAGGGAACAGGCGATCCCCTTACCCTCCGCTACTGGACCAAAGAGCAGTCAACAGCTCCTAGTCAACCTTTCGAAATGTGTCAATTAGGAGAGCCTGAGCTGTGTACCCTGGGATCTCCAGAGAGCGAGGGGCCCAGGCAAGAATAATCCCTGGAAAAAGAAAAACCAGGTTCAAAAGAGGGGAGGTCTCTCCCCTCCCACTGCACGGAGAACATAGTGCAGTCTTGGGTTCTGGGAGCCTCAGGGAGGCCACGGGGATGGGGAAGAGGACAGTCAATGCTCTGGTGAGAGGTGGGTAGGGTGGAACTATTTGGAAGACCAAGCCTGTTCACTACCGTGCAGGGTCGGGTTACCGAAGGGGGAAAAGGGGCGGTTTGGATTAAGGTGGGTGCACAGAGCAAGGAACTCTGCAAAGCCTCGGAGCAGAGAACTGAGCACACACAGGATGCGGGAGTGTTCAGAGGCCGCAGGGAGTGGCATGCGCACCACCCGACTTAGTTCTCTCCAGGTAGTTTGGAACCTGTTAGCCTCTGATCTAGATTTTCATTGCCTGGATTTCAAGTTGGGCGATGGAAACCAAAAAACATTGGTTCCTAGACCTGGGAACCACAGCATCCATAACCCAGTGCACCTCAAAGACCAGGTAAAGCAACTAAAGCCATTTTTTTTTCTCCTGTAGGAGAGGAGTGACATGCAAGCTCAGAGAAGAACAAATAAGGTCAGAGGTGCCACGGTGAGAGCTGGTTCGCAACTGCCCTATCAGGGCAACATCGCTCCACCTCTGCTAGTAGAGCGCTGGACGCTGGCAAGGAGGTGCAAGGAGGTGCAATCCAGGAGAGCATCTTCTGCTCATTCCCCCGGGGCCAAGGCCGACGGGGCTGGGGGAGATGGTTGGAGGATTGCACCGGGGAGTTCTTTATGGTGTCAGAGCCCGCCGACCCTCACTTCACATCCACATCTCCCTCTCACCCCACCCCTCCAGCAGCCAGCTGCTTGCTGCTGGGACCACACAACGCTAGCCACAGTCTGCTTACAGCCCGGCCCCCGAAAAAGCTTACAGTTTGTCGCCCCCTGTCGGCCTCAGGCTGGACTCTGCAGGTTCCCGCGGCGGGCTGGGCTGGGGGCGAGGTAGTCCAAAGGTGGGATTGTTGAAGAAAAGAAAGGAAAGGAAACGTCTCTTCCACTTCCCTTGGATGCAGGTTGGTGTCCTTCATGACCGAAGGGACGGCAGCATGGTCGGCGCTGAACCCACAGAGGTAAAAAAAAAAAAAAAAAAAAATCTCTGTTCCATGTGTATGTGTATGCCGGGCTGGGTTTGGCTTGGTTGTTTGGAGCGCCCCGGGCGCAGCCTGCAGCCAAGTGAAGAACGGTTCCCAGGGGCTCGGGAGCTGCCTAGCTAAGGGCGCGTGCCGGGACCTGCGATTTGACGGGTCCAGCTAGGGCTGGACGCCCTGAGGGGCGAAGGACGGATTCGAGGGTCTCCGAATGGCCTCGGGAACTGACCCAGATTTCCCAAGGCAAAGTGAAAGGAGAGGCAGACTCCGTGCCAAAATCGTGAGTTAAAGATGAGGCAGGAAGAGAATGCCTGCCCCCCCCCCCGGGGGGGATTGGAAGCTGGCGGCGGCAGGAAGGGTCGTTCAGGGTCATCCTTGGAGTGACAGTCACGCATGCTTTACGTTTCTTGCGTCGCTTTAATTTTTGGTGGGACTCTCTCAGGGAGCCATTTGGGTGCAAACGAAACGTGCCAGTCGCAATAGGCCAGGGTGTTCCCGGGAGCCACGTATTTCATAGTCTTCGGGAGAAACCTAAACACGCCCATGAAAGCCCGACTCGGGTCCCGCTGGGCTGAAGAAGCAACCTCGGGGCCCGACGCGCCCAGGCTTGCCTTTCGGTTCTGCCAGGAAGAACCCAAGGGCGGGAAACACAGGAAGCATCCCAGGAAGGCCCTGGGCAGAGCCTGGGCCTAACGATCAACGGCGGTACCCAGCAGCCTCCCTCCAGAGACGCAGAACCAGCGCAGGCTCCGAGTGAGCAGGGTCAGAATCCTGGGTCTTCCTTCCCACAGCCGCGCCTCGGGCCTGCCGAGCCCGCAGTTGCTCCCGCCTGTGTCCTGGTTCAGCTCAGTCCCCGAGTTTTTGCTATGATTTTAAGAGTTCTGTCAAATCGAATCTTTTAATTTTCTTTTCTTTTTTTTTTTTTTTTTCAAAAAGGTAGCGCAGGCTGCAAATGCACTTTAGGCACCAGGTTACATTGTGCTCCCTTCTTTCCCCCCTCCCACACACAGATTTGCAAAGGAGATCTCACGCATCACACTTAAAAAATACTAATGCTAAGAAATGGCTAGCTGCAAGGAGATACATGACACGAAGAACTGACCCCTAAGAGGGAATTGTAAACCCTCTGCAAAAGCGAGAACAGCAGACTAGCTCGTCGGAACCGGGGATGTGAGATAATGGCAATGAAATGGAAGGGGGGTGGAGGATAAGAGGAAGGAGGACTCAGGGCTGAATCGGCTCCTTTGCGGGTGGTCCCCCCCACCCAGGGCTGGGCTGGTGCGACCTCCCCACCAAGTGGACTCACAGGGAAGGGGGGTGGGGGAGTTGCGCCCTGCACCTGCCGCTCCACTTTAGGATAGACACTCCGCAAATCCAAATGGAGGGTGTTGAAAATGGTGCCAATTAGTATTAAAATAAGAGCCCCAAGACGAAAAAATACCGTCTTCTACCCCGTTCCCGCCACTTGTTTCCACTCGGCCTGCTGGTGATCAAGGTGGGCTTGAAGTTCTTTGACATGCGTCGCATTTTATTTGCTATCCTGGAAATGTTTATTATCGAAAGCAGGTCAAGTCGGCAGGAGGGGGGGTGGAGAGCCATGTCTGTCTACACTGGCTGCTGTTGGAAATGCAAGAGGAGAGAAACAAATTTTTTTTTGTCACTTTCCTAAAATGAAAGAATAGATGAGTATTTTCTGCGTGAATAGCAAAACAGTCCCCGGATTCCGTTCAAAGAGGTAGGGGAAAAAATCGAAAAACATCTGCCGTAAAATTCCCACAAGAAATAAACACGGATAAATTGAGCGTGGCAAATGAAGATCTAAGATACTTTCTATCCTGTGATGCAGACATCTAACTACTCCATTTGTAGCATTCCTTTTGGAGTAGAAACATTTTAAATGTCACATTTGGGTGATAAAAATAAACTATAGGAAAACCGTGCCATTTGCAGGAAGGAATGGTTTCTTTGAACCTTCTGAAGGAGCAACGTCCTTGTCATTCCTGCATATGTTCAAATAGGCACCAAATCCAGGGTTTCCTTTATTCTTAAATCTCCCTCGTTTCCCTGGCCATGGTCATGTCAGATAAGCTTTGACATCCATTATAAAATGACCTATACTGTTTAATTAGATCTATTTCATTTTATTCCACCAACATAAAATCCTGCACAGAACT